AAAGGGTGCTGGGCAAACCTAGATCTCGAAGCAGATTGTGGGTGGTCGAAAGCGATTCCTGGAAGCGTTCGACACGCAGACAGAGCAGCACTTCTCGGCGGCTGTGTGCTGGTGCATGTTTTTCCCGGACATCAATCTGCAAAAGTACAAAATATCTGCGGAGGAGGAGACCAGGTGGCGCTAGCTCTTGGAATTTGCGCGCAAATGGCCGACCAGTTTGTGGAGCATGATCGACGGCTACGATGTATGCCGCACGACAAGGTGAGTACAATCCTATCCCTTGCAGATGTTGCTAAACCCCGGATGCTAACCGGCCAGTTTCCCAGTCGCGAAGACAGCGACTGAAGATCTTGTGTCTCGAGGTGTGAGTTGGGAGATTGCTCTATGTGCCGGACGACTCTTCGATGGGAAAGTAAAAAAGCCTCCGCACGGATTGGACAACGAGTTGTTTCAATCCATTATCGCGGCTATGGTTTCTACTCTGTGGATAAAATGCAGATGTCTGGACGACAAAGCCGCTATGGCAGACGCATGGACGTTGGGCTGTAGCGGGAAAAAACTGTTTCGTCAAAGTGTCGGTTGCAGCAGCTGGAGCAGCCTTTGTCGCTCTGTCTCAGCCCAAGGAAGCCCTACCCTTCAAGAAGTATGTCCAAACGATCCCGGAAGCTGCCTCTATGGGTGTCAGTTACAACCACACGGCTTGGAAGGAGATTGTCGAGTTTGCGGCCGAGGTTGGCGTGCGTTGGTGCATGTGTGGTCACGCGGTGAAATGGCTAAGGGTTCGAGGATGTGTAGCTGTAGATGTGCTACCAGGTCATCGGTCGCGGGGAACTAAAGTTGCGGATAGTGAGGGGAGTGCGGAGAGGAAGTAGTGGAGTAACCATATTGCAGATCCATGTTGCTACTTTTCTGACAATGCAAATTCTGAAATCACATAATACTCCGCAACCCTCTGCCATATACTCCAACGGTAACATCTGCCTATATGCTTGTACAAAACTATGTGCAATGCACATTGAGAACGTCCAACAAAGCTATCTGCGAAATTACACAAAGGTCCGTTCAACAAGTGCAATATGTGTCCTGATCTTTGAGATTATAACCACGAAATTATCTGCACAAGTACCATAGACAGAGTGTCGATAGAATCTCGGAACGGGATGCAATCTGCAAACTTACTCTAGCACCTGTGTTGTGGTCGACAAACCAACCATGCGGGCAACAGATGAAAGGCGTTGCACCATCAATTCCGATATCACGGGCGAGCAACCATAAACCCTAAACCGCTCAATATGCGATCCCGCGTTTCAGTATAAATCGACATGTATACAATGCGCGAGTATTTGCAATTTCTAATCTACACGAGGTGGAAATATCAGTGTGATGCAGTGCTCAGCACCCTCGCATGTGAAGGTGGAAGTAATACGTTCAAACACCAAACCCGATGCCCTGCGAGCAGGAACGAGTGTCTTGTTTCACTGACTTAGCATTGAAATTGTGCTAATTTTATATATGCCCATAATATGAAAGTAAGCATAAATTGTGATGTGGAGATCTTGGATTGGTCCATATTTTTGCAAAGGTGCTATATGTGGTGAACAGAGGGTTTCACCTTGAAATCAGGTCATGTGAGGAAGTTGATCTTGAGTTTTGGCCAAATAACCCATAATCACGCAAGTAGGTTGATTTGTGATCTACAGCCTTGTGACTGGTCTGTTTTTTTGCAGAGTGGTTCTCTGTAGTGAACAGATGATATCATACAAAATTGAACTGATTTGGACTGCTGGTTCTTGATTTACAACATAAAATATGACAGCAGAGAGAGGGGTGAGAATGAGATGTGGAGATTTTAGGAAGTCGTTTTTTTTTTTTTTTCAAGGAGACTAAACTAGTTTGAGGGTACTAACTTTCAAAAATTGGGCCAAAAACATCTCTGGAGCTTGAGTTATGGTCAAAAGAGATATGTGCACTAGTTACAATGGTTAGGCAACAATGATTTTAAACCATCGTGTATCAGGTTAGTTGTGCCATTCATCTAGCTGAAAAACTACCTGTCACTACCATGCAAAAACCTAAACACTGTGTTCCATATCCACTAACCATGTTGTTTGCCAATATCTGACCTTTCATATTATACTAGGTTCATGTGTTGTAAGGTGAAAGTTGTCTAGGAGTCAAAGTTGGGCAAAATACCAAAAACTTCCGAATGTGTTCAGCAGACCATGGGGGACCAGGAAACACACAAACATGTGGAAAGGTCAAGAAGTTGACAACACAGAAAGCTATGAAATAGGTTGTAAACTCAGTGCTCATTCATGAAACCAACAAAGTTTAAGCGTCTGAAATGCTATGTTCCAGTTATTTGAGTTCATGTTATGTTCGTAGGAGCTATTTAAAAAGAACAAAAGATAACCTTATTTTGGAACCTATTATGCATGCATTTGTTGGGCTTCTTTATCCATTTCTTTGAAGGTTTAGGTGAGTTGTTTGGCTTCTAAAAATCTCATACGTAGATACACTGTACATCTGTAGCTCGCGAGTTCGACGGCCGCGTTACCGTCTTTTAGGCCGCGAACGTTCTGCGCGAGACGCTCGTGCGCCTATCTGGCGGCTAGACGACGAAGACACCGATTCGTAACAATTTTGACTCTTTTGCGAATCATATAACAGCGATTATATGAAAGCTTGTCCTGGCTCGTCGAGCAAAAGGTAGTTCGCCGAGACTTTTGGCTGTAATGTTAGTCAGAAGAGAAGAGAGATGTTGTTTATCTACCATGCAAAAAAAGAAACTAACGGATGGGCGATGTAGTACGTTAAAACAAGATGTGGATTCCGCGATCTCAGGCGTGCAGCGACGCCTGAGTTCTGCCCTGCCATGGCACTAGCCCCATCCGTTGAGATTACACTAATTTTCTGCAAGTCAAGTCCAATGAGCGTCAGATATTGCACGAAAATAAACGTCAGAGATGCAGCGCCACAACAGTGAAGTGTGAGTAGCGTGATGAACTCGGTTACCACCTCCCTATTTTTTCATGTATCCTGACCGTGCTCTTGTCGATCGCAAGGCCGATCCAAGGGGAATCAAGGAGGTGCGACGGCTGTGACTCTTGCAGGTATGTGGAGATGACCCACAAGTCTTTTTGAAACCATAACTGCACTGGGAAACTTAATATTAAATCGACTGGCATGCAAGTACAACATCCACATACAGGAAAATACACTCACTTTGTGTAGCAGGCGCCATATCCGCCTTCCCGGGAGAGGTCCGAAAGACCCTCCTTTGCCGGAAACCAACACAGCAGCACAAACATGGCAATAGGAGCGCCAGCCTTACAAATAAACAGAGAGATGTGGAGTGTGCGGATAATATATCGCGTGGCGGCGCCAGTCGCCTCCCGATGCGTCAAGGTGGCCTGCCTCTGCTTGTCTGCCTCCGTGCATTCTTGCTCTTTCAGGGCCGGCTTGTGAGCTCGGGTCGAAACGTGTGTCCGGATGCTACCGATCTGCAAATCTCGTGCGCCCTCACCCCTCAAGCCGTAGCTGGTGTGCGCAGCAGGTCTCCATACTTGATGCAGATGTCGCACTTTAGCCCTGGCCGTCCGTCCTTCTTGCAGATGAGACGCAACCATGAGAATTTCCCGGACCATTTGGAGTCGAATCGATGCTTGATGACCTCGAATGTTGCCTCTTCCGCCGTCTTCTCGCCTGCTTCCTCCTTAGGATCTGCCGTTTTGGGAGGAGATGCAGACGTGCGTGGTGGCAGCATGCCCCATAGACGCTATTGGATGTATTTTACTCCCACGTGCCGACGTTTCCCAGGCGCACTCTGCGCGGTTGACGGCGTCTCGGTGACACCCCAGGACGATCCCTCACCACCTCCTGGAAGAAGGACAATAGAGGGGTGTGGCTTGAATGTAGTAGGGGAGTTAGGAGGCCCAAATGGGTACACGGTACAATTGAGGAGGGAGCATGAGGCACTTGTTCGACGAAAATGCTAGAAATTTGCGACAGCGGCGGAAGAACGCCGAGCACGGAGAGGCCGTTTCGACGAGCTTCTGGTGGATCCTGGTTCTTGCTCGGCAGGCATAATTGGTAAGCGGGAGAGATAGGCGTCGAGGAGGAACAATGACATGCCTACATTAGAACGGCGCGAGCAAGAAACGGTCCTTTCCTCTCACAACCACCCACGAAGCGCCCGTGCATGCATGGTTCAGCTCTGTGCAGCACGTGAAGATGCTGTGTGGTGTTGGAAGTTCCTTATGTGGCTGCGGACCAACAGCAACTTTGGCGCACTGCCAAGTAACGCTAGCAAACGTATATGTCTTGGTGGCAGATATGTTGCCAATCTGCCCAATGATGGGGCTCAACGCAGTGGGGGATTGCCCACCGCACGTTGGGTACACAGTGTAGGGAGGCAGGGCGTTATGTGAGGGGTGCAGTGAATCGGCGAATCCTCGATAATGGACATTCGGCTTCAAGGTAATCCAGAGCCCACCCTTTCTAGACAGGGAAACGAAATGCCTACGCTGAATTTGTAAGGGAAAAAAAAACAATTAATTTGAAAAAATGGTAACAGAAGGCATAGCCTGTCTTTATCAGGGTAACTAGAAAAAAATGGCCTACAGAAAGGGCAAAAGGGATATTATACCCTAATATTTTGGGCACAATGTAATTTCCAGAATGAATAGAAACAGATTTATAATCAACTAGGACACAAAATGCGATTCGTAACGTAACGTGTTTCCCAAGTTACTGCGCGCACAGTTCGTTACATCCGGAGTGGATACGCAATTGAACCGAATTTACTGAACACTCCTTGAGTCCGAATCCAGCACTTTTTCGAACGCGCCTTGGCCTTGAACCACGATTTCCCTTGTCGAGTCTCGATGCTTCTTGTTCTCTTCTTCCTCCTATGAAACGTTGCTGGCAGGGGGATAGCAACCTTAGTAGGCTAGGAAAACAGGTATGATAGCTCTCTGGAATTCTCTGGAAATTGCACTATGACTTCAACAAATTTCACACACAATTTTATAGGATGCATTCACAAATCGAGTCGCACTACCAAGTCGCGACACTCTGAATTTCTTATTGGTAACTCTACCCCTTGAAATGAACCTTGCCGTGAAATTCAGAGATTGATTGCGATGCGGGATTGGACGGCGAGCTTGGTTACGGGGCTGTAATTTCGTCGGCACCGTTGGCGAAGTCGGCGAGGGGTCGGAGCTTGACTTTTCTGCGTTTCGTTATTTTCGCGCGAGGGTGTGGTTTGGGCTGCGTGTCTTCAGGTGGGCGCCCAAATGCTGGGAGGGGAGGCTGACCAATCCCAACCTTGCGTGGTTTGGGAGTTTGCAGCCTCCCACTAGCCGGTGGGTTGGCACTGTGCGGCTGCCCAACAGTAACAATGGGCTGTCGCACTGTTGCATCCTAGCACATTTCTTATTCCCGCTTCTCACGCCGTAGCTTCTATTCCCCACCGTAGGCCGATTTCCACCGTCTCACTATTTAAGATCCCACGTGCTTCCATGCCGCCGTCGTTCCGCATCTCGCCGTAGGTTTCGTGGTTCGTCGAGCCATCCCTAACAAGCGCGTCACCTTCGTCGCGCGCTTGGCCCTCGCATCACACTTCCCCCTCGCCCAAGTTTAACGTCGCCGATAACTGCAGAGAGGCCACGCGATCGTCATCGTCCGGGCGGCATCACGCGCGTAGCCTCGCGCGGCCGCCGCGCCCATCCGCTCCGCCAATGGCGTCGCCCGCCAAGCCATCGTGGAAGCGGCGGTGGGCGGCGGAGGCGCATCTGCGCGGGCATCGCGCGGAGGTGACGGCGCTCTGCCACCACGCCGCCTCCGACCTCCTGCTCTCCGGGTGCGCCCCTCGCCCCCCACTCGCCTCTCTTTCCCCGCACTCAACTCCCCCCTCCCATCCCGCGCCACCCCGTCCGACCTGCCCCCTCGCTATCGCCCTCCCCCCCTCACTTTACTTCTCACTTCCCATTCCACCCCACTACCCCGCTCATCATACCCTTCACTCTCCCCATCACTCCCCTCCGCTCCCTTTCCACCCCCCGTGCGCGGTGCAACGGGCGGGCGGCGTCGCAGCGACATGGAGGGCGAGGTGAGGGCGTGGAGCCTCGCCACGCACCGACCCGTGGCACGCCACAGGTGGGGAAAGGGATGAGGGCGCGAGGGTGCGCTGTGTGTGGGGCGTGTGGCAAGGGAGGGGCGTGCAGTGGGGAAGGGGCGTGCAGTGAGCATCGGAGGAGAGAAGAGAGAATGGGAGTGTGGCTCGCCACTGGCCCCGCATCGTCACACGGCCTTACACGCTTCCCTCCCTACCCACCACCAACTCATGTCCTTCCTTTCTCCTCTCCGTATCCGTCTCCCTCCCCTTCCCTCTTCGCTCCATTTATCTCATCGACCCATGTCTCCTCCTCACCCGCGTGGCAGGCTGCACGGGGCCCATGCGGGCATCATCGCGATGGACGCCGTGCCGCCTGCCTCTGCTGCTCCCTCGCTCGCTCACTCCCTGCTCACGTATGCCCCCTTCCCCCCCGCCCTGCATGCCCGCCATGCCTCGCCCTGCATGCACGCCCTGCATGCACGCCCTGCATGCACGCCCTGCATGCACGCCCTGCATGCACGCCCTGCATGCACGCCCTGCCTTGCTTTGCCTTGCCATGCCATGCCATGCCATGCCATGCCATGCCAAGCCATTCCATATGCCATGCCATTCCTTGGCATGCTATGGCTTTGCCATGTGATGCATGTGATGTGTGGCCTTCTCGTTGCTCCTCCTGAACCAACACACAGCATCTTATCTTCCTTAAACTCCTTCTCCCCCACAGCACAGCCCTCCTTCTCTCCTCCACAGCCACTCGCCCTCACAGCTCCTCTCCTCTCTTCCCCGCTCTCTGCCTTCACTGCACGCCTTCCTCTGTGATCAGGCAGGCAGGGTCGGGACGGTGTGGTGCGGTGCTGGGCGGTGGAGAGTGTCACCTCTGCGACCAGCAGCAGCAGCAGCAGCAGCGGCGGTGCAGCGCCCCCGGCACCGCTCTTCGCCATCCACACCGGTGCCTTCACCTTCTGCCGCATGGCTCTGTCCTCTCTCGCCTCCCCCGCCACCCCACACCCGCCACCACCACACCCGCCAGCAGCGCCAGCCTCTGACGGTGCATCACACCCGCACGCAGCTCTGAGCAGCGCTGCCGCTGCGTGTGAGCCCAGTGCAGCAGGTGGTGGTGGGGCGCAGCAGGGCCTGGAATCCGGGAGCGGTGAGAGGGGACGGCGAGGACGGGTACGCACGGGACTGTTGAGTGCCGCTCTTGGAGCGGTGGGGGGCGAGCCCGACTGGGAAGAAGGGGTGGCGCTGGAAGAGGGGGGCAGACGCGAGGGCGGGCGAGGAGGGGAGGAGGTGGGGACAGCAGCGAGTTGTGCGCAAGTGCCTCCTGTGTTGGCAACTCCCTGTGACGATAAGTGCACTGTACACATGTCTCTCCACCCCACTCCCTCTTTATGCTCTATGCCCCCCTGCCTCCTAGCTCCTCTGCCCACGGCCCCCCCTTCCCCCATGCCCCCCTGTCCCCATCCCCCCTGTCCCCATGCCTCCCCTGCGTCCATGTCTCCCCTGCTCCCGTGCTCCCCTGCCCACAGGCCCCCTTCCCTGCCCACGCCCCCCCACTGCCCCACATTTCCCACCACCTCTGCCCCACATTCCCCCCTTTCGTTGCCCCACATCCCCCCACCCATGCCCCACATCCCCCCCCCCCCATGCTCCACATCCTTCCCCCACGCCCCCCTCCCCTGTCCCCCACGCCCCCCCCCCCCCCCCCATGCCCCCCGCCATGCCCCCCGCCATGCCCCCCTCATGCCACGGTGCAGGTGGCGCTGTGGGACCTGCGCCATCCCTCCACGCGATCGCTCTCCATCGGCTCGCCTCAAGGCTTCCCCCACGCCGCCCCCCACCCCCACTGCGCTGCATCTGCCGGTGCGCTCCCTCCTTGCTGCGCTCCCTCCTTGCTGCGCTCCCTCCTTGCTGCGCTCCCTCCTTGCTGCGCTCCCTCCTTGCTGCATCTCCTCTCATGCTGCATCTCCTCTCATGCTGCATCTCCTCTCATGCTGCATATCCTTCCTCTTCCCGGACCATCAAGCTGAGAGTATCTCTCCTCGTGTCTCACTCTCCCACTGCTCCATTGCTGCTAAAGACACTCGTGTTTGCAATCTCTCGTTTCCTGCTCTCATTGCCCGCTGTCGCATGTCTCTCTCCTCTGCTTGCCCCGCATCGCCCCAACCCCACCAGGTCTGCCCATGGCGCTGCACCTCATCCTCAGCCCCTCCGTGTCGCCCGCGCTCTTCCTGCTCGCCGGGTGCGCCCACCCACCTTGCCCCTGCTGCCCGCGCTGCTCTCCCTGCTGCTCACTGCTTCATTGCCGCACCTGCCACAACCATCACTCTACCCCAACTTGCCCCTCTCATGTCCCTTACTCCCTTCACCTCCCTCACCTCTCCCACCATTCACTGCCTAAACCCTTCTCACCCCCCTCATCCTCCTCACATTCCTCACCCTCCTCAACCCCATCACCTTCCTCATCTCCCTCAACCTCCCCCACCCCCCTCTTGTCCCCTGTGTGCCTGCCAGCTACGAGGATGGTCGCATGGCCCTGTGGGACGTGCGCAGCCCCGCCCGCCCTCTCACTGCCGCGCGCCTGCACTCACAGCCAGGTGGGCGGCACTCACAGCCAGGTGGGCGGCACTCACAGCCAGGTGGGCGGCACTCACAGCCAGGTGGGCGGCACTCACAGCCAGGTGGGCGGCACTCCCACCCAGGTGGGCGGCACTCAAAGCGCATGTTTCTGTCCCATTGCTTGTTTCCACGTAGGTGCTACCTCTCTCACTCTAACCCCCCATGCCTGCAACCCCCATGCCTGCAACCCCCATGCCTGCAACCCCCATGCCTGCAACCCCCTGTGTGGCGGGCAGCAGTGCAAAGCGTGGCGGTGTGGGGCAGTGCGGAGCACGGCGTGTCAGGCGGGGCGGACACAGACACCGTCTTCTTCCGCCTCTTCCTCTCCCAGGTACACCCTTTGCAACTTTGCAAGTCCCCTTCACACTGCACCCCTGACAGCACCCCTCACAGCACACGTCACCGCAGCAGGTGTCCGCCACTGCTCAGTTACCCGACGTGTTCTCACATTATCCTTGCACACACCGTCCTCACCTTTTTCCTTTTCCCCCATGCCTATCCATTTCCCACTTTATGCACCCCTCTGTGCCCCCCTGTGCGTCCTGTGCTCCCCCACTGTGCCCCTCTTTGCGCCCCTCTTCCCCCCTGTGTCCCATTTTCCGCCCCTGTGCGCCCCTGTACCCGCTGCAGGGCAGCATGGAGGCAGTGAAGCGGGTGCGGTCACAGCAGCCCGGCACCGCTGCCATCGCGCTGCACCCTGCGGGTGGTGTGGCGGCCACGGGGGGCTGGGATGGCAGCGTGCGCATCTATGACTGCGCCGACCGCGACAGGCCCCGCCCTGCCACCCAGCTCACCCACCACTCTGCTGCTGTATGCTCCACCACTCTACGTTAAGCACCCTTGCAATCCACCCATGCATTCATCCATCCATTCGACCATTCACCCATGCATCCAAGCGTCCATGCACCCATGCATCATGCACCCATGCGTCCATGCACCCATGCATCATGCACCCATGCGTCCATGCACCCGTGCGTCCATGCGTGTGTGCATGCAGGTGACAGCAGTGGTGTTCACACCAGACGGCCAGCTATGCTCCGCATCACGGGACGCCACCATTGCTCTCTGCCGCTCTCGCTGAGGCCACGCGTGCTGCCAGGTGGACACCACGTCATGCACTGAAGACCCGAAACCCGAAACCCTTTACGTGGCCAAAGCGCGTGTGAGGTGACTCACATGTCTTTTTCATTAATGCGCAAGGTCCATTGTATGAGAGAATCGACACAACGTCCCGTCATAATCAATCTCGCACATGATTCAAGGGTTTTCAGGCATAGAGCGGAGGCTCTGCCATAGGCCATACACTTGAAACAATCGCTTGGTGGATAATGTCCAATGGTAACAAGACAACAGAATGTCATAGTAGGTTGACGTGAATGTATCAATCATTATATACCAGCAATTTCTCCATCACGAGTGTCAATGTTTCAAATACAATTCGTATCCAAAGGCACAGCTTTACAGCATTATTGTTAAATCCTTGCGGTGTTGATCAGGGTTGCTTTCCTACATGCTCCTTGAAGTGACACGGCACGGCGAACTGCTCGGAGCATGGTACTGGAAGGAAAATTCATTTTCCTTCGCGTCCCTGCTCGCACACTACTGTTCCCGCCAACAGTTCCCAATAGTGCTTCGTTACCACTCGCGACACTCGCCCCGACTACTGTTCCCGCCACTGTACACGATGCAACCCAACCTCACGGCTCGGTTGGTAACCCGCGCTCCGGACCTCCGCCTCGACAATTCCCAACCTCGGCGCTAGGCCCGTATCGCACCCCATTTTCACACATTATCGTTACCACACTAGCTTCACTATATATTCTTCGCTCATGCCTCCGCTCAATAAATTGTTTTGCTTCGATAGTGCAATTCTCGCTCGCTCGCTCAATTGCACTCGTAACACTTGGTATCCAAAGCCTACTGTATAGAAACAATAGGCTTCAATGTGCCTAAAACGAAAGATATATTGCACACTCGGATTTCTGCACAGCTGCTTATAACGTTCATAGCGATCTGGTCACAGCTCCAAATGACCTGATTCAAATTGGATCTGGAGCGTCTTGACGTCATCTATGGTATGCAGATTAGATCGCACGATTTCATCAATTATTGACGACACAACATCAGTTTGAACGAACGATACTATGATAGTCATTATAGTCTTAAGACACAAATTAGGAAGAGTCGCAAGTTTGAAAATAACTCCCAGCTCCTACAAACCCCAAGAGCCGAGGTACAGTGATGTGGAACAATGTCACACTGTCCCCAACCAAGAGGGTCTTGAATGTCAGAATCACTAGGCAAGAATGAATGAACTAGCAGAAATATGAAACCCTAGTTGGGGTTGTACCCCATATTGGCTACCCCACTACAGCCTACAAGCATAATACAGTTTAACACACCCCCATAGGCAAAGTGGGGGAGAACAAAGGGTCACAAGACCAGTCCAGCAAAGCAAAGCAAAGCCCAGGGTGGATCACAACGTCACCACACTCCGAGCACAAGTAAAGGCCACAAGGCCAGTTCACATGCAGTGCTAGATATAGTACAAGACAAGCAACACAGTGATCAAAACCTAGCAAGCAAGCAACAAGATATATATAAAGTACAGTACAAAGAATGTCAAGCAGTGAGCAAGTGAGGAAACGTGGACACAAGGCCTAAAGAAGTACAGTGCCGCTGATGATCACTAGGCGGGAGCGCCTTGGTGAAGATATCAGCAGTGTTGGCCTTCGAGTCCACGTACACAAGCCGAAGCTGACCGCGCTGCTGAAGCTCTCGAGCAAGAAAGTAGCGAAGAGCAATGTGCTTCGTCCTGTGCTCCAGTCTGTGCTCCTGACACAAGGCAAGAGCCGCCTTGTTGTCACCGTACAGAACTGGAGGAGAACTAGGCCGCTCTCCCAAGTCAGTCAGCAGGTAGGTGAGCCAGCGTAACTCCTGTGCAGCCATGGCTGTGGCGTAGATCTCAGCCTCACAACTAGAGCCGAGAACAGAGGAAGAGCGGGTGGACCGCCACGAGACAGAACCTGAGCCAAGGCTGAAGGTGTAACCCTGTGACGACCGCTGCGTAGCCAGGTCGTCCACCCAAGAGGCGTCCGAGTGACCAGTGAGGACAACTCTGTCGCGTCCTCCAAGCACCAGCCCCATGCCTGATGTACTGCACAGGTAACGCAGCACCCTCTTAGCAGCCTCCCAGTGCTCTCGCCTGTGTCTCCCAGGCGCAACGTAACGAGCAAGGATGCTAAGAGGGTACGCGAGGTCAGGTCGCGTGCAAGTCATCAGGTACATGAGGCAGCCTACAAGCTCTGGGTACGGGCCACTCGGCTCTACGGACTCGTCCGAAGGTGGAGCTGAGAGCGAGTGGCTGGTAGCCAGAGGTGTGGCCTGTGGTGAGGAGAACTGGAAGCCGAAGCGCTGAAGGACCTGCTGCACCATGTGTGACTGAGTCAGGGTGATGGTGCGGCGAGCTCTGTCCCGGGTGATCTGCAAGCCAAGGTAGCTACGCAGTTCACCCAGGTCAGTGCAGGTGTGTCTCTTCTGCAGCTCCGACTTCACACGAGCGAGTGCCTCAGTGTCAGCAGTAGCAAAGACCAAGTCGTCGACGTACACGAGGATGTAGAACGGCGGCAGCGACGTGTCTGTGCGCAGAAACAGCGACGGGTCAGCAGTAGACGGCGCGAACCCAAGAGCCGCAAGAGTAGTCCTCAGTGTGTCGTGCCACTCACGTGGCGCCTGGCGGAGACCGTAGACTGGCCGGCGGAGACTCCACTGGGTACCAGGGGGAAACGACCCAGTAAAGCCAGGTGGGCGGCGCAGCCAGATCTCCTCGTGCAGGCTGCCCTGCAGGAACGCTGTGCTGAAGTCAAGAGAGTGAAGCTCGTAGTCACGCTGAGCAGCAACGTGCAGCAGAACCCGAAGAGTGGTCATCTTCGGGGTGGGGGAGAAGGTCTGGAAGAAGTCGACCCCCTGACGCTGACTGAAGCCTCTAGCAACGTAACGAGCCTTGAAGACAGGCGGAGAACCTGGCGGCCGCTTCACCCTGAAAATCCACATGCCATCGACGATGTTCGCCCCAGGAGGGGGAACCTCGTCGACGTAGGTGCCTGTGGACTTCCACGATGCCATCTCTGCGTCCATGGCTGTCTGCCACTGAGAGGAGTAGGGACCCGAGATCGCCTCTGCGTAAGTGCGCGGAGTGGGGATGTCTACTGCATCCGGGTCTCCCTCAGGGGCAAGCAACCAGGCCACGAGATGAGGTACAGCAGCCGCAAGTGAGTCAAAGTCCTCCTGCCTGTCCTCAAAGACGTCCGTGCCAAGAGCACACTTACCCCCGACGGACGGAGGACAGACAGACGCAGACTCTGACTCAGCGACAAGGCTAGCAGCGTAGTCTAGACGACAGGCAGCAGCAAAGTCAACCAACTCAGCTACCAGAGCAGACGCAGCCGAGGACTCAAAGGTGGGGTCAGTGACAACAGTAGCAAGGAGACGCGTGACTGTAGGGTGCTCAGCGCGATACCGGTCAGACTCAGGGTCCGGAACGGCAGGCAAAGAGGACGCAGGAGGAGACGGTAGAGGGACACGCCGAGGAGCAGTAGAGGGACGCAGAGTCATGTAGTGAGTGCCTGGGACAGGAGGAGGACGCTCACGACGGACACGACTACCAGTGCGAGCAGGACGAACAGGCGACGCAGGACGAGACTCAGGCTCACGACGCTCTGTAAGACCTCCTGTGGGACCAGTATAAGGAGAGGGAGCAGGGAGAGGCGAGGCAGGCGGTAACTGTGACTGCGGCTGGACAGGTGGAGGACACTCTACGGAGGGAGGAGGACAAGGAGGAGGAGCCTGCCTAAGAACCTGCTGAAGGAGCGGTACGAAGTACGGTCGCGGCCGCGCAGCGTCTCCAGAAGCAGAAGGGACTCCAGCGGCCGGGTCCTCAGCACCAGCAGGAGCTCCAGCGTCCGGGTCCACAGCACCAGCAGCAGCTCCACCGGCCGGGTCCCCAGCTCCAGCAGCAGCTCCACCGTCCGACTCCTCAGTACCAGCAGCAGCTCCACCAGGTGGGTCCGCAGCACCAGCAGCAGCGCCACCCCCAGAGTCGGGAGCTCCAACTCCGCTAGCACCGCCAACGCCAGAGTCCCCAGCTCCAGCAGCTCCAGTCGCAGTGCTCCCAGAACAGCCAGTCCCGGCAGCTCCAGTACCCCCAGTACGAGCACCCCCAGGACGAGCAACTCCAGCACCCCCAACTCCAGCCGAGCCACTAGGACGGCGAAAGCGTCGGACGTACCAGTCACGAAGCTGCTGCGGTGTGAGAGACTGCTCAGCACCCCGAACCGGAGCACCCCCAGACACAGTAACCCGAGGCTCCGTAGGCTCAGTAGCAGCACCCCCAGGCTCAGTACCCGCAGGCTCAGTACCCGCAGGCTCAGCACCCCCAGTCGCAGCACCCCCAGGCTCAGCACCCCCAGGCGGCAAACTCTCAGGCACAGTACCCTCAGCTCCAGCACCCGCAGTCCCAGCACCTGCAGCCCCAGCACCCCCAGGCCCAGCACCCCCAGGCTCAGCACCCCCAGGCTCAGCACTCCCAGCAGCACCACCCGCAGCAGCACCTGAGTCACCTGTGACCTCGACAGGCTCAGCGACGGGAGGAGGGTCTACCTGAGAGACACCTGAAGGAGCAGGACCCTGAGGGGGAAGGGGGTCTACCGGAGGGGGACCAGGAGCAAGGAAAAGCGGCGGGGGAGGGAGGGGGGCAGTGCGGTAGGGGAAGAGACGGTAAAAGGGGACCGACTCGTCAAAGGTGACATCCTGAGAGGCGAAGACCCGGCGCGAGGTGGGGTGGTAAAACTGCCAGCCAGGCGCGTCAGGGACAAAGCCAAGGAAGACACAGGGAAGCGTGCGGGAGGAGAGCTTGTCCGCAGACGTATCGCGGACAAGGGCACGAGCACCCCACACCCGGAAGCGCGACGCATCGCCAACCTCCCCCGTCCAACGCAGTGTGGGCGAGGTCTCCGGCAAGGAGACACGGGGCCAGAGGTTGAGCTGATGCGCGGCGTACCGGACAGCAAACGGCCACAGAAA